TATATTATATATATATATATATATATATCAAAAATATGAAAATATATATTCTCTTAATAATATATAGATTATTTTTTTATTTAAAGATATAATACAAAAATTATTAAGCAAAAGCGATAGATAAAACTCAATTCCATTACGGAAATAAATGATTAATTTTTTATTCACACCCTCAGGTGATACAGCGAGTCAGAAAGAGAGAAAAAGAGGGATAGTGTCACTGCGTATGATCGTTGAAATGAGGTTGTTATGAATAAATAAACAGCATATGCTTTTGTATCAGGTGTCACAATATGTGTTCACATATATATATATATATATATATATATATATGTAGGCGGAGGACTGGCGTTATGTTATGTACAAAGAGTGCCGTTTGGAACGGAGGGTAGTCGGTAGACGGTACAATACAGAGTGTAGAGTGTAGAGAGTAGACTCTGGTGTGAGAAAACTCCTGGGGGCAATTCGTGATAACGATACATTTTTGTCAGACTATATATTTAAAGCTCCAACTTTGGTGCCTTTTTGGGCCGAACAATCCACGTTTTGATCGAGTCCCGGGTGCTGGATGCTGGCACCTGGACCGCTGCTCGACGTAACAAAATAACGCCGGAAATTGATGCTAAAACGACGTTAACCCAGAGCGGGCAATTCATAACACGCCGATTGGTGGCTCTGCAGCTCAACATTACGCTAATTTTTTTTCGAACACCCCCGAGGCTCGAGGGGTCAGGCCTCTAGTGGGTCTCGGAAGCGCTTGGTGATAAATAAAATTTGTTTTTGGTTCAAAGGCGACTCAATTGCTTTAAAAAAATTTTAATTGCTAAGAAAATTAAAATCAATTGTTTTTTAACTAACAAAATAATTTTCTTAGTTCAAATTTTATTAATTTAAAAATAATTTATTTAATTAAAAAAAAGCTTTTTAGTTCAAGAATAAATTTGTGATTGAGAATTAATTGAAATATTAAAATAATTAAAAGAAAAACAATCGGAATTTAAATAGTTGTTGTACAGCAGCGCACGTACCCGCAGTATACTCGTGTGCTGTCGATTTCCCCGGTGTACGTCTCCCTAATAAACTTTGTCTGACTGTCCAAGGCGCCTCCCACAGGACATTCTCCCTTGCTCACTCTCAATTCCTCGAATGCACTCTCCGAGAAGCGGATTCATTTACATTGGGATGATGTCACGTATCGCTCTACCGTTCGATCCTCGATTCGTTAGAAAAACAGAAAACTCGAAGAACAAAGAACAAGAAACCGATTAGATAAAAGCTTCTCTCTTCAAACAAGAGATACAAAAAATATATTGACAAAAAAGCATCTCCAATATAACTTTCTCTAACGACCTTCGATTTTAAACTAACGGAGTTTATTTTTTTGTCAGCTGTTTAATTAAATGAAAAATGAATAAAACTTTTCTCCAGAAAAATACTTTTTAACAGATTAATAAAATACCCGGAAGATCTTTAACACGTACGGTTATTTATTGGGGAAAATTTTTTAGATAAATTTTATAACTCGGGCGACGTTAATAAATATCGGAAAAAAGTATTTTAAAGTATCTTTATCATCATTAATATCATATTTACTTTTTCTTTGATAAGTATAAACATTATTTATTTATTTAGATTTTTTTTTTTTTTTTTTTTTAATTAAATTTTTAAGATTTATTATCAAGAAAAAATTGTTCAAAGCTAATAAAATAAAAAAATATCGAAGAAACCCAAATGAATAATAAAAAATAAGTCTCAAAAGTTCTGGCAAGTCAAGTTAATTAGCAAATAAGTAAATACAATTAAAAAAACATATGAGGAGGTTTTACTTGAAAAAATACTTGGACCCAGTGCGGCAGTTAATTATTCAGCGATCGTCTAAGTTAAATATTTGCTGAGAAAATATAAAAAAGGGAATATAATAAGAATTTAAAAACCAAAGTCTGGATCGGAAAGTCCGAAAAGGTAAAAGCAAAACTAGAGAAGAGAAAGGCCAGTTGAGAGAAGTAATGAGTGAATAAATAAAATATTCAGCGACTGCTGAGCCGAGTACCCAAGATAAAATATATTATAGCAGAGGCAGAGGGTAGAGGGTTAACAGTTACAGAGTGTGGAATGCATAAGCATCGTATTTGCAGATCACGTACAAGTACAAGCTCGAGTGCTCGGTTTGTTTGACGAGGGTAGACTGCCGGCGATTAATCACTGGCTATTAATTAACCGAGAATCAGGTCCTCCTCGCTTCTCCTCCTGGTTCTACTATTTCCCCTCCGGTTTCGCGGGTGTCATAGAGGATCATCCACGTCCAGAAAGGCCCTCGAGCGACGACTTTGCTCGGTCTATCAGTCGACCCCGACAGCGGCTTGGCATTGTTTTAAGTACGACTAAGCTTGGGAGTCACACGGTTCCCAGTTTTACGATCCACGCTCGTTAATTATACTACACCGGTTTGCTGTACAAGCTCGCCCGTAGCCAACACATTTATCGCGCACATCGCCGGATAATCATCAGTAAATACACTCGTTTACACACTCATGCTGACTAATTTTTTATCGCTGTAATAATCAACTCTTTTAATTAACTAATTAATTACTTTTCTTCTAAGGTCCCACCGATTATTTTTATTTTTTTTTAGTTTTTACCTAACTTGTAATTCATGTTACCCAAAATTACAAGGGTCGTTTTTTTGTCTGGGAATATGTTAAAAGGTCATTTAATTTTAGAGAATTTTTACTTTTCGAAAGAGTGAATAATTTTTACTAGCAACCTTGCAGTCACTTTTGTTAAATTGCACTGTACTTTTTTAACTATTGACATTTTTAAAGATATAAGCTCATCTTTACATTACACTCATCAAGAGCTTTCATTTGAGTACCCACATGCATATTTTGATATATTTTTCATATAAACATATATATAATATATATAAAAAATTGACGTGGGTACTCAAATGAAAGGTCTTGATGAGTGTAACATCGGGACGAGCTTATATCTTTAAAAATGTCAATAGTTCACAAGATATACAAGGTCATTTCTTAATTATGTAAGTATATAGATTTAAAAAATAATTCAAAGCGGATTATTCAGGTATCAATTTAAAAAAAATAAATAAATTATACATTATCTATCCTTGAACTTTTCTCAGGAAAGTACAATTGAATTTTCCGCCAATAAAGTTAACGAGGCAACAAAGGTTTAAAAAATCGACATTTAGCGACAAGTTTACTGAGGATTAAACGGTTGGTTAATTACCCGGCTAATAGTCTATTAGTATTATCATTATCACTATTATTATTATTATTATTATTATTATTATTATTATTATTATTATTATCACAATCACTATAAATCGGTAAGTAATTATTGAGTTGTCCGAGGTGGATACTGAAGCTACATACCCTGATACAACTATGTAACTATATAACAGTATCCTCATAAAAATTTTCATAAGCTCAATATGTTAGCGTGAGGATTACGCGGTCCGTGCACGTAATCGTCGGCAAGCCTTGTACCTGCTAATGTCGGCGGGGATGTAATGGTCTTAATTAAAATGGCGGTCTAACGAACATCTCGCTAACTGCCGTAATCCGGAGTCCAGAGCTCCACATATTCACACACACACACACACACACACACACTCTAATATACTCACACATTAAAGAGTTAAAGTAAGAGAACCAGAACAGGAATGAACTGCTAGAGGAGCTTGCACCTCATTGGTAATCCGACAGTGCGAGCACTGTTCTTGTGTCTCATTCCATGAATATACGTCCAATGTACTGCTGGAGGATCAGAATGAGAGGAAAAAGACAAGAACAGGAGGACAAAATTAAGCAGCTTGTCCGTGTCGTGTTCAAAAGACCGAGATGTGAAATAAATGGAAGAATCTTTCACGCTAACGTGTAATGTGTGATGTGCTGAGTACCTTTCGGGATCTAAAGTTTTGTGTGAGGATTCAGGAATCATTGGGACTCACCTGGTGGCGATAAGTGGACATGTGATGCTCGGCGACGCCCAGGCCTCGGGGCTCCAGGGGGCGCACTCGTAAAGCCTCAGCTCGCGGCTTGACACGGCCCCGAAGACGCTTCTCCAGCCCCCCGAGCAACTCACTCCGATGTAGCTCCCGGCGACGCGGGACATACTCGTGCTGCTGCTCGCTCCATCTTCGCTGCTCTCGCTCGAGGCTCGTCCGTTCTGAAATTACAGAAAAATTTTATTTTAGTGATAAAAATTATGTACTCTATCAGTAATAGAGGTCAATAAGTTGTCAGACGTCTTACTTTTAATAAAATAGACAGTAGTACAACTCAATAATCAGTCAGACTTGGATTTTTTTTTTACACAGTAAAAAGTTTTGCGTCAAAAACTTAGTGTTAAAAATTTTTGTGTTGATTAAAGATTTATTGTGTTAATAAATTAATCCATAAAAGTGTTAAATATTTAACATAAAAATTTTTAAGGAGGTATTGCGCCAAGAAAAAGACACCAATAAATTATGGGTAGTGGTTTCTTCACTCTAACTACGGTTAGATTAGGGAATACATATTAAATATACGATTTTTAATTGCTAATATTTCGAAAATTAGCATCACAAGGACTATTAAAAAAAATTTATTTGCATAAAGGACACTTAAAAGTACGCGTATTCAAAAATTGAAGAATATTGTAAGAAAAGTGATTTTGCACAATACCTCCTTAACACAAAATTTTTTTATTGTGCAGCTTTTGGTTTTTATTTGTAAAATTGGGAATAAATAGAGTTGTAAAAAAAAAAAATGATTGGTTGTATATTGACAATATTTGCAGTGTAGCGTAGGCCTGGTGGATCTACAAAAATAGAGAAATGCTGGACGAACAGGTTAAAAAAATTTTGAGTTTCGATTTACCTCGGTCGACTTGTTTGTACCACCGTGGTGGGTTTTTATGCATCGCTCCACAATACCATATTTTATCGTATTTTGGTGTGCCGTCGATTGCGAGATCTATTTTCATGTAACATCGATGCGTGTGTTCGCCGCTGCAGATTGCGGACAATTCGACCGAATCGCAATCCAAGTATTTATTGAAACGAGAATAAAATGGCACACGCAGATGTACTCTGTTCATATCTACTCCCCGAACATATATAATATTATATATAGATATCAAATGTTAAGCGTGTTTATGTATCTACGTATTTATTGTACCAGCAGATATGTGAATCTGTGAATCTGTGAATCTGTGGATATGTGATGGTGATGAGTCACTCAATTCAGCTGTAAATGCCTTGATTATTTTACTGTATTGACTTGATCCATTGTTTGTAATCAACAATTCCACATATGAATATATATTTTATGATGTATATGAATATACATATGTGTCTATTTGCTTTGTTATTTTATTTTTTTCATTTTTATTTTTATCACCGTTTTCAATGTTTGCCTTTAATTAACTCGGCAATCAGTGTTAAAAATTTATTTACCCTGCGTGGGATTTTATTTGCCAATTCGAAAAAAAACTTAATTAAAATTAAAATTAAGCTTTCATCGCTGGCTTTTAAATTCAATCCAGAAACTCCACGGAGAAAACAAACTATTAAATTTTTCTCTTCGCGCAAAATTGTTTTGTTCCTAAATTTAAAAAAAAAAAAAAAAAAAAAAAAAAATTTCTTTCGCCAGATTTAAATATTTTATTAATTTTGAGTAAGAGATATTTTTTTTAATTAAAATAAAATTTTTTTAACACTTATACAAAAATAAATTGTTTTGAAACAAATAAAATTATTAATGTTAATAATTACTTGGATGAGTAAATTAAGGGCAAGAGGAAATTTCGAGGGGGTAAAATCGATCGGGTAAAATGGAGGCGACCCCGAGTTGCCAGTCTAGTAGATCCTTGGGTGGTGTGCGTGGTTTTATTCGAGTTGAATGGGTAGAACCTTTTTCAGCGTGCGCGAGTAAACTTTTGTATGATAAACTTTTGATGGAGATGGAGCAAAAAATTTCATTTTGTATCTCATTTATTAGTATTTTATTAATTTTTATATACATTGCATAGCATGTTTTTTAATTTTCAACATTAAATAATTTTTTTAAATTAATTTTATAGAAAATAGAGCTTTGATTAATCAAATTAACAAAATAACTGCGATTCTGTGTGTAAAGTTCCTTGAATTGTTAATTCTTAAGCTGCTTTCAAGATTCAAAATTATACCTTCAACTAAAACTTTTGGTAATTAGTCCTTATTATTCTGCGGAGACTCTACAATGTTATTAAGCATGAACTATAAGCTTCAGGTATGTTTACAAAAAATTTTGATTTTTAATATTTAATTACTGCTTAGAAATTGCAATGATAAGATTGAGAATTAAATAGACGGGTGTGAGTGATTATTTGATTAATAATAATAAATGAAATTGATTATTTACATTTATAATCGTGTGATTATTGACGCAAGTGTATTTACCGAAGTTAGGAAACCCGGATAAACCGTGTTTGAGCTGTTCCGATCGCTCCGACTATATTATATTATATGTATATTACTTTGCAATCAAGAAATTGAAATATCAATTAATATATGTACATTAAAGTTTCATTAAGAGTGTATTAAAAATAAAAATATATATCCGTATATTTTATATTTAAAAATAATTCATTAGTAATTTATACTCGGTAGAATACATACATCCCTGTAGAAGTAATTAAAGTGTACAAAGAACACGAGAGGAATAGAGGAAAGTGGAGCAAATGCAATTATTTTATTTTCATGCGCTAAAAAAATAACACTCTTTTTTTTATTTCTAACTCTAGTGTTTGTTTCTATAGAATACATATTAATGTTATTTATTTTTTTAATTTATCTTTTTTCTATCTGAATTTATAAACATTATTTTTACTTTTATCCCACTTGAAAATAATACATAAAATTATTATTTATAAAACATAAAATATTGTTTTAACGTCCCTACTATAAACAAGAAAAAAATCAAACTGTTATATCCTTTATTACAACATACTGTGAAAGTTGTAATATATTCTTCTTGAAATCATAAAATTATATCGCTTATTAATGACAATATAAAAGAAACTTTTTCAGTATTTAAAAGTTGTAAAGTGCTTCGACTAAAATAACATTACAAATAATTTTTTAAATAAAAATAAGGTCGCAGAAAAACACCTATTTTATTAGGCAAAAAATCATAAATTTTTCCAAGATATTTTACCCGAAAAAAAATGATAAAAAAATATTCCTGAATCTCTCTTATTGAAACATTAAACTGATATTTTTTATCTCTCAATTGATGGAAAAAATAGGACGGAAAAAGTGATGCTCGACAACCGCCCGGGGACGGAAAACAAAAGCAATAATAAACCCCGTGGAGAGCGGTTATTAAAAGAGCAATAAAGTATTAAATTCACCGTTAGCAATAGGAATAGCCAATAAGAAATCGATGATAAAGTGTGTTTACTAAGCTCATATCCATATTCCCATCATACATTGGGTGTTTACCTTTGCATTCTCAACGGAACAAGACCAAGAAGAGAAGGTCGAAGGCTAGAGATATATATATATATATATATATATATATATATATATATATATATATATATTCTATCTATCCTTGCTGGCTGAAGAGATATTCAAGTAAAGCATTTGAAAAAGCCAAACTAAACTCTTCTCGACCCTTGTAACCCTCCTTTTTAAGTTTACTCTTACTCGTGTTGGATCCTCCGAGTGAGCGAGCTGACTCTTGTTCTTTCAGGGAGCTGGAAGCCTTTCGAAGCCGCCCTCCAACTCGTCAATCCATCAGCACCTAGCTGGTATGAGGTTTACTTAGCATTGCTGATGCACTATCCACTTTGTGGACCGACAGAAAGAGAGTTGCTCCGAGAGAAGAGAGGAGAGATAAATCCGCCAGCAGTTCACCAGACTCCAAAACCATTGGCCACATCACGGCTTACAAACGTCCAGGCTCCACCACACAAAGATTCCGATGGTAAATGGTAAAAGCAAATGTTTGATGATACCTCACGGGTATATATATATATATACTTCCCACATACTCACACACCCTCGGATATTCATGTCGATCGTGGATATATGCTTAACCAACAGGCTATCCATCTAGAGGTGCACTAATTAGTTGATTATTGATACGAGCAGTTTGTCCTGATTGCAGCACACACTTTGCCATCTCATCAGCCGCCCCTTTCTCTTCCTAGATCAGCAGACTGGAGGGCCGAGCTCGAGTTGGAGCTGGAGCTGGAGCTGGAGCCCCTCAACGAACATTTAGTTAAGCCATTAGGTAAAAGCAATTTGTTTGCTGGAAACTTAACGGAACCCTTTCGAGGTTAAAACAACCTTTTTGCTTGATGGGGTAAATTTTATTGAAGTGGCCTTTTATTGAAAGCTACCTTGTGTTTATTATAAATTATAATATTATTTAAATAATAATAACGAGGAAGTAGAAGTAAACTGTGAAGATAGTTGGAGCTGGTAGCAGCTTTTAAAAAGAATTGAATCAGTTAATAGCTTTTATCAGGAGCACGTACTACGTAGTAGTACGGCGGAGTGGTGAAGGTGAACTAATGAAATGAAAATGGCACCTGACCAGCGCTACCAACATAAAGTGACCGGGTGGAGAGCACAGTAGAGGTGACAGCTCTGCTTTGGCTTCAATCGATTGTGTGTATGCATCTATGTGTGTGCCAGTGAACGCTTGCCAATGACTAACACACTTCTATCTCCATTCAATTTCACACTAGACGGAACATACTATCCCTGTCCCAGGTCTCTGTGTACCGATATAGTCGAGCATGATTAATGGACAGGTATTATATCTATCTGCCTTTTACTATCTATCGTTTTTGATATTCCTCCGTTGGTTGTGTAATATACTATCACTATTACTGTTACTGTTACTGTTACTGTTACTGTTACCGGTGGTATACTTTGCGCTCGGTGTAAATAACTATTATTTATCGTGGTTAATAAATTCAGTTATGATAATGATATTGGTGTCAATAACCAGATTTGATTATTCATGGAGAAAACTATCGCAACCCTTCCTATATCAACGTATGGAAATTGTTCTACATTTTAATGGTGGAACATAGAAACTGTTTTTTATGTGTGTATGCATAAATACTCTGCTGGTTGTCGGTCAATGTTTTCGTAATTATAAGTTTAGATTTATATTCTCCGGGAGGGAAGTTACTTACTGCTGATGGTAATTATTTGTATGATAATTAAAACAGGTACTTTATATTGAAATTTAAATGATAATTGGTTTTGCTTTTAAATTTGATATACTGTGTTTTAACTTAAAAACAGTTAAATTTTATTGAATAATTGAAGGGATATAATCTAAAAGAGTCAAGTTTCAAGTTTAATTTTGCCCTTGATAAGTTTTTAATTTAAATACTCTGGAAGGTAAATGAAGATTACAAATAATTATTCTCTTGAAAATGACAGCAAGTGTTGAAAGTATTCTATTGGAATGTAAATTAGCAGCAAGGAATATTACAACAGAATGAAAAATAATGAAGATGAATGAGTAGGTGAATCGGTGCGAGGAGAGATATGCTCTGCCGGAAATGGGCTCGGAATGGCTCCGTGAGGGGCAAAAGGGGATGTACGAGGAGAATATAGCTCTATAACTATACACCCATACCTCTATAGGGATTGTCAGGTGCAAAGCGGCGTTCATGAACGTGGTCGAGCGTCCAAGTGAATCGATAACTGATATATCAAGTGGCACCCAGCACCCAGCCCCGGTTGTTATCGTCGTCTTCGTCCTGAGTATTGATAAAGGGGCAAGGTGGTACGTGGAGCCAAAGGGACGCAAGGTTCATGTCGTTCACACATAATTGATTGGCATTTGCCCACCTGATTGCTGCCCTCTGACTCAACCCATTTGCACGTCTTACTAAGCGATAGTTAGCTCCACGTTCCACGTTCCACACTCCATACTCTATACTCCAGACTCCATAGACCAGAGACCACAGCCCATAGATCCCTCGTCCTCGCTCCCGCTTGTCAATAAATTATTGGAAATTTCACGGCGTTATTGTTTCGATAATCACAATACCAATATTGTTACTAAAACTTAATATTTTTTTCTTCTCCAACAATTCTGTTAATGGTAAATTCAGTTTCATTTTATTTATTAAAATGTCTTGTAATTGTTCGTTAAAAGAAAATTTTTATTATAAGTATGAAATCTGCTCAACACCAAAGTACTCAAAGTACACGGACATATTTTTATTATCACTGCTTTCAAATGGAACTTATTTTTTACAGTGTCGCATAAAAGTTCTGAGGAAACTAAAGTGAAAATATAAGCAGCAGTAGGGGCATTATGTATCAGTAGGAATCATAAACTTCCATAAAACTCCTGTTCTGACGACTTAAAACTTATCGCTCTCTTTCACCAATGGAACTTTTAATCTTATTACTATTGCTGTTACAAGGGCTGGACAAAAGTTCTGAATGTATATCTTCCCGGGTCAAAAAATTTAATCTGTTTTACAATTAATGAAAATTTTTAATATTTTTCATTCTATTTAATTTTATTATGTGTATCTATTTTATATTAGAATTTAATCTGTTTTTGCCCGTACTATTCCCAATTCAGACCAATTTCAGATCATGAGATCATTTTTGATGTTACAATAAAATTGTTTGTCTATTTTGTTTCAAGACCAAAATCAGACTTTTTTGTCACAATCATTTAGCTGGTTTTGCATTGCATCAAGGTCAAAAACAGACCAAAACGTTCCATAATTTTTAGATCAAAAACCGACCTTTTACGAATTTGATAATAATAATAATAATAATAATATATTTATTTATTATTATTTTATTCATGTCCTCGAAGATCCTCTACAGGGCACGGCTTTTCATTCTCTGAAACTGAAATAGTGACCATTCACTATTTCGTAGTGCAATGTATACCAAACGGTATTCTTCGCACTACCAAACAGTGAATACCGCTCATTAAATGATGCATCGAGGTATTAAATTTAATATTAATCTTGTCATCTTGTCAGCATTTTAATATTTTAATCTTGTCGGTGTATTCACATTGTGTTGTTTAATATCGATAATTAGAAAATTCTAGATTTAGATCCATAATAAAACGATGAGAACTATTTTTTATACGTATGTTAATACAAATTTATTAGTTATCACTGCAACTAATATTCGAAATTCGCAGTTACAAAACTTTTATAATCCATGAAATATTAAGCTATGATAAATAAATATGACAGATATGTAAGGTTATAATCGACGTTCAGTTCATAAAACAAGAGAGCGCATGAATATATTATAAATTAATTTATTTTTTCAAATAAATGCGACTTATAATTTTTAATAAGATACTTTTGAGTTAAAAAAATTATAAATCACCATCTTAGTCGACTTTTGGCCTTCGAACATTTAGCGTGAAAATTGTAGATCAAAAACAGTATAAGATTTCAGATTGAATTTGAAAACAATACATAAAGTCCATCTACAAATTAACTAGACTAAAAACCGATCAAACTTTTAAAACTTTTTAGTCTCATTAGATTAGAAACATTATAAAATATTCATAGCTGCTCAATTATTTTACTAAAAAGTTATTTAGACTTAAAACCGATCAAAAATAATTTGAATAGCAGATCAAATACAGATGAAAATGTTTTTAAAAGTTCAAATACAGGTCAATAAGTTCAAATGCAGATCATTTAGCTTAAAATCAGTTTAAATTTTTTGACCCGGGATATCTTTCGAACGGGTCGTTAGATTCCGATTTTTTCGACGCAGTTTTTCAACCCAAAAACGCTTATACACGGTTTTGTATTGATTGATTGTAAAGTGTGTAAGTTATTTCAAAAAATTAATAATTAATTGATCATAAAAAATCAACGTTTTAAATTGATTAATATTGAAAATAATCTGCAGTAATAAATTAAGAAATAATTCGAAAAACTTAAGCCGCATTTAATCTCAGAAATGAGTGATTGGATTTCTAATAACGGCTGGTGCAAGTAAACGGGAAAAAAAAAGGTTCTCGGAGTGATTTTAACGAATGGGGTGATTGATTATCGGCAAGTTTTGACAGAACTTGCCCGACAGAAGGATACATTATTAATTATCAATTTTTTAAAAGTTTGAAAGTTATAATAAAGTTTCGAGTAATAAAGTAATTGACAGACGGATTTCTCACCTGAGCACAGTGACGTCTGGCCAGCCAGCCGATGTGTTGAAGATGCGGAGGATCCGGAAGCACCGAAGCGAGCCTCAGAGCTTTAAGCGTTAGCGAAGCTAAGGCCGAATGAAGGGCATTGAACCAGACGTTTGCCTCGGTGGTGTCGGCTGCCCTCAGCCAGCACTCGTGAACCCCGTCCGGCGAGTGGAGCTCCAAAATCCTGCCCTCTGAAATTATAGTTAACAAAATTGATATCAGTGCGAGTGGAGAATTTATTTAGCTGATACATTTTCGAGGACGTGAGAGTGTGTGTAGAGTTGAGTTAACAAATAGAGTATGCCGTAATTGTAGGAGAATAGTGAGTGAGTTATTATTAACTTTGAGTGAAGAGCTTCGGAGTTATTGACTTGACATATAACCACGGCTAGTCTGCCGCGTTTTATCGTCCAACTTTAAATTAATGCTTCCGACATAAATTGAGGGAAATTAGTTACGAATGCTATGCGGGATAACCTCAGGGTGTCTGTTAATAGACAGACTACTGGCGCATCTTGTGGTTAATAAATCTCACACAAATTGCTATTGATTGACCGGAAATTTTGTTTTCCACCTATGTCCGTCAAACCAAAGTATTCTCGTTTATTTTTACTCATTCCATTGATTTGATTCATTTAATCACTAAATATATATTCTATCGGTTATTTTAACCTTTAATTTCATTCAATAATACTGCAATTATCCGACTACAAAGTTTTCAAAAAAATACAATCGAATATTTAGTGAATTTTAGATCTTTTAGAGTCTAGACTCGAAAAGTTATAATGAAAATCAGTAACTAATAAGATAAAATCCATTTAAATAATCATTCAATTTTCGTTTTTACTTTTTTGGTTCAATTTGAATATCATAAAATAACTAGTATAGATAAACTCTGAAAAATTTATTAAAATATTCATTTAAATTTATCATTCCTACTCTCAGTTAAAAATATACTTCAACATTTGTGATGGAACTTTGACATTTTAACTCTATAAAAATTTGCGATATCAATAATGCACAAAGAATAAATATAACCGAAAGTAATATAAGTACGAAATTAGTTTATATATATAGTTATTGAATATTTAAAAAGTATTATAAGGATACTAAAACATTAAATTAATTATGCATTGCTAAATATTTGAGAAATGGATTTTCAAAAATGGATTTTTTTTTTGAATAATTAAACAACCTCAAACTTATTTTAAAAAAAATTTTTGAATTAATAAAAGGATATACAATAAATAGCAGCAAAACATAAACCATTTGAAAGACTCAAAAGTTTAATTAACCGCGTTAGTAAATTAATATAACATTCAATTATAATTTAAAATTGATTAGTTTTCATTTAATATTTTATTATATTATACTATATATAATATAAATTAAAAGGTATATATGTATATATAGAGTACATTATAAAAGCACTATAACTTTGCCGAGTGGATGACAACTCAATTTCAAGTTGAAGCTGACGTGCTCGCGTGCACTTCAAACTTGTCGAGCGGCTTCTCTGGAGGTGTCAGAGTTTTGTAAAAGGGATTGAGCAAGTCAACGTTAACATTTCACAGTTCATTTTTGCTTATCTTTGAATCATTCAGCTCTATATTCATTTCTATTTCTTCATAGAGACGTTTTTTGTGTTATCCACACACAAGCCAAAATTTTCGTGGCTGATATCGTCAAAGCAGACTAATTGCGGGTTTCGATGAATTTCACGTAATTCTACGTCAAAGCATTTGGCTAAAGTTTCCTTGGGAAATACTACGGAATTGTCATTCAACCTCAATTGATTCAAACTTTCATTCTTTGATTAATTAGTGAGCTGGTAATTTAATAAAGATTTTAAAAATTCTCTTCTATGTCTCAAAAAATTTGTTATTCATTTTTCAGGAAATTTTCCATAAAATCGAAAGAAATATAACTATTATAAAATAATGATAATAAATAAGGGCGCAATAAAACAAGTAAGACAGGTGAGGAAGCAGGGATGTCGTACTTACGCCAAGTTAATGTCGCAGTAATCGCAGTTTAAAGTAAGGGCGGTATTACATTTCAAAGGGTTCGTTTAATTGCGTCAGCTCTCAGGAAGTAGATACCAAAGTTCGTTTAATTAACTAAGTAATGATGCACGTACACTGGCACAAGTTGTCGGTTGTCGGTTGTGTATGGAAGAGCTTCTGAGTTTAGAACGGAATCCAAGTACATACTTCACCGGTGTGTTCCCACTTTATCTTCTTCTGTGCTTCTTATACTTATACTTTTTGGAGTATGTCTTGTCAATCTTTTCAGCTCCTGACCTGGCCTCTTAATGTAAATGCCCCGTGCTCAGTTGAGTTGTTAAGGAGATTTAATACGCCCTTTACCTTCAAAATTACGGTGGATTATTTTTTTAAGCTTTGAATGCTTTAAGAAGAGCTTCATCTTTTTTTGCCTTCATTTCTTTAACTAAACTTCACTAAATTGAAAGGATTTACGAAGATAAAATATGCTAAAAGTTCATTCTATAATTGTTGTTTAAATAAATTAACTTTTAGGCTTTATTATGTTGATGAGATTTATTAAGGTTCAAAATGATGAAACTTTTAAAATAAAATTGCGTAATTCAAAAACAATTTCCGTCAAGCTCGTCTCAAATCAAGGTTATCAAAATATCACATTTCTCTCTCTCTAAAAAAAAAAAAAAAAAAGCAATAATCCCCGTGAGACTACGCGAGAAAATTGATCAAAGAAAGATTCAAGCGAGACTTACACAGATCCAAAATCCACCGGCAACATATTACATAATATATATCAGTAAGTGTGCAATTGAATGTGACTATTTCGTATCCAAGAGATCACGCGAGGTGTTTGCAACCAATATAGCAAGTCATGTGAACATTTCGACGCTCCGGGCGTATAGAACTCGCAACGTGAAACCTCCCCACTCCAAATTTCCATTCCAAGTTTTCAATATATCTCTAGACACGAATAAGATGATAGTACTTTTACAACAAAATAAGTAATCCATTGATTCGACGGCTTTTAATTTTCTCTTTGGTCTTTTGTTTTTCGCATTACTTTTGTCCGAAAATGCACACTCCAAAGTACCAACACCGGTTTCCGCTCATTTTCCTAATGAAAGTAGCGATAGTTTATATCGTATGGAAGAGTAGAGAGTAGTACCACAAAACGCACTTGCGGCCACATCTTTATTTATTTCAATGCACAGCAACTTCCGTTCCCAGGCGAACTTTTTTCCCTTTTCGAGAACATAAAGAGTTAGGCAACGATTTTAAAACTTTTTACTCTTTGCTTGCTTTTTATTTATATTTTTATTTTTTTTCAGGCATTTGCCTCTTGTGTAAACAGGAAATTTTTCTGTCTTTATCATCCTTTAGACACCCGCGATACTGTACTACTACTTTTAGTTTGGTACTTTAATTCCGGCACCGAACCTCATTCTTTTGTGTCCTCGACCCCCTCAACCTCAACCTCAATCCCTTCCTCCCCTGTTAAAGCTCCCTTATATACATTACATACATCCACACGCATACATATATACACAGTGCGTTTATAAAAAAATATAAATGTATGGAAAAATATATCTGCATGTTGCTTCCGGACGTCCTCACTATTTTTTATCTCTTTAAAATCTTTTTTCTTTAAAATTTTTCACGTAATTATTTCTAGCCACGATTGTCATGCAAATTTTTACTTGTGACTGTTGTTATTATCATACTTTTTGTCTAAGTTTTCAAAACATCCCTTGAACTTGGGCTTTTACTCGTTCCTCATCCTCGTGCCATCAGTCATAGCTTTTTGTGCTTTCTTGCTTTCATGTTTTGTTGTTTTGACTCGGGTAGATTTTTTGCAAAGGGACAAAATTTAAATCGTAAATAATGAATAATTGTTCGACATACATGCTTGTAAAGCCTCCAGCGTTTGTTATTATTAAAAATGTTCTATTATAAAGTTTGAAAATTTTTTCTTTTTTCTATATATAAGGTTTGAGAAATAAAATCTGGAACAAAAAGATTGAATGACAGAATCGAAGTGAATTCTTTATTATTACTTTCAAATATAAAATGTCCATTAATACACTGAGAATCAAGCCAAGCCAATTACTGATATAAAGACCAGAACGCTGTTACTTGACACTTAACGTCCATAATTAATTAAAATTTTCAATCTCATATCCTGAAGTCGAAGTAATCTATTATTGCAATTATCAATAATTATAAGCTGCCGTCAGAGTCAATAACCTCAAAATCTTTGACCTGCATGAATAATCAAGTCCCTCGAGAATCAATAAAGTTCACACGAGCTTTTCCATAAAATCAAAGTTCAAAAACAAATGACTGTTAGTTCTAAAGTAAAAAGTCATTAAAAAGGACAAGTGGCAAGATCTGGCCCCAACGCTAATGTCTAGCATTACGGCTCAATAAAAACAGACCCGATGGATTGAAATGAAATGACAGGAGTAAAAGTCACGCAATACAGTCATTAAAACGTGTCATGCCTCTGTACTAGTGATTTAACGATTTGTATTGTATTAAAAGCCCCATAAATAATGTACGCGACACTCGGTTAACAGATCAGCTGCGCCCGATAGAATCTCGGTAATCATCAGTCGGTAAAAAAGCAGCAAGATATCGATCTGGTTGTATAACGCCAACGCAGAGATAATGCAATAATGAGATGATCCGAATCAAAATCACTTAGCATTGACAGTAAAATAGAATCGACAACAGAATGGAGTGAATTAAATAAGTATAAAAGTATAAGGATAAGTAAACAGACCCGACACCTGGTTTATCCAGCAATTTATATATACATATATATTTATTTTTTTTTCAGATTTCCAGACATGCAGCAGTGACATTAATGTCTCTGTCGACAATGGAACCGATTTACAGGGCCGAGACACGCAAATCACGTACCATCCTGGCACGCTCCTGCTTAACATTTTTTCGCTCGCCTTATCTTTGGTTTTAATTCCATCCGGAGATAAGGGCGAGTGTGAAGATCCTATTACTGGAAATAGAGTAGTCACTTTTTTTATTTTTTAGCTTTATAATTAAATTAGCAATTAGATGGAAGTTTTTTGTGAAAAATCATACAAAATGCTCTGGGAAATTCGGAAGCATAAGGCACTTTTGAAATATTTTAAGTAGCTTTTAAGTTTTGTTCACTTTGTTATTCACTGTTTTTGTCGAGTCAAACGCTAGCTACGTGGGATAACACGTGTTCGGAACAAGCACCATCGGTCTTTTCCAGCCACACTGTTCCAGCACGTACGCTAACCTATAATACTAAGTTTCTATCCCGTCGTGGAGATAAAGGAGGAGAAAGAGAAGGAGGAGGATTATGTCCTGGGGACACGCTCATCTCTGGGGTAAGGATCACGGGAGGCACCCTTTTGACAGCCACTTTGATATTCTCCAGAGATCCACAGCGCTGTATACATCAATTATTCAACTAAATCAATTATTTATTGTGAGTAATTATTAATAACCGCTTTCATGGACTTAGTTTAGCTTAGCTAAGAAGATTATTTATTTTTTTAACTTTTATTTAATTATTAATGATTTTAAGGAAATTTTAAGGATTAATTATTAAATTTATTATTACAGTAATAAGTGTTTTAGAT